GTGTTTTCATTCGACTACCCCTCTTCCCTATAGAACACAGGGTTTATCTTTGGGATAAGATGACTCTCTAGAGAACGTTCCTGCATACACATAGTATAATAGATACTAAAGTGCATTGACAAACTTTTCAAAATTTTTTCTTTTACGTATCGGCTCACTCCGCGTCTAGAAGCGATGAAACAGGCTGCACTTTGTAAAAAGAGCTAATAAGTATCGAGAAACACGATCTGCACTGTGAACTTTGAAGAAACTCGTGCGAGGACACGAGGCGCCGCGTGAGAACGTGAAAAAGAACGTGGCAGAAGTAAGGGTAGCCAAGGGGTGTGAAAGAGGGTTAGTTTGAGACTGCCACGGGTCTACGGTGGTAGTTTATGAACACGCCTCACATAAATTGTCGCGGCTCTTTAAGAAATTGGAAAGGCGCGAGCGAGTAGAAACAGCTTGCGCGGAGTGGTCGACGAGAAGTTTTTCGTATCCTTTTTTTTTAGCTATAGGGGTAGTTCCGAGGGGTGTGGATATCGAGTAAAAAGGAGAGAGCCAATATAGGTATGAGGGGACGAATAAAAAACCTTGGATAGTTAAAAGGGCTGATTTTCAAAAATGATAATTCAAAAGTTTCAAGGATTTTAATTCGAAGATGGTATATTATATTCGAAGGACGAATACAGGAAAATTTTTGAGAGGGTGTCATACTATAATACATGTATTCCAGGTACATTCAATGACGGGAGGGTGGCTGTGGATGTACGCCACGAAAGTTTTAATACGTTTCCTCGATCGAGTAACATCATCCCTTCATCCCGTTCATCCGCCGAGGGGTTCAGGAGTTCAGCCGTTCAGCCGAAAATAAACGCGTGGGCCTGTGGGACACATTTTACCCCGCAGGTAATCTTCGCCAGACAAGATATTACATTTGAATAAATGTCACCGTCGATAACGGGACTCGCAAATACGTTATCGGCGAAACGGCTCGGTAAACATCCCGCGGGAAATATTTGCTAATATCGATCATATCGTCATTAATAGTATATGGCTCTTTGCGCCAGTCTACCTGGTATACGTGAACCTCACCCTGTCGCGCCTCAGTGTTATAGTAATGTTTCCTGCCGATTTTGCATACGCGTCATGCTAATGTAGCCGAGGGGATGCATTACGTAACGCGGGCAACGATGATTTTCCACCCCTACATGAAGTTTATGAAAATCGAAATTTTTTTTAGATTATACATTTTTGAAGCATAAACTGTATACCGATTAACGATGATCTCGGCTGTGATTGGCTGCCATGAAATTGGAGGCTGGTGGATTGAATGACCGGTATAGGTAATTTCATAGAAATATCATTGATTGATATTAATTAGAAGCAATCATGAGTACCTACTGGCGAAGCGTACGGTAGGGGTTCTTGCTGGTATTTCGAAGGGGTGCTAGCTGTTTCAGCAATCCTTTAGTATTAGGGTAAATCACGAATCAACTGCGTACACAATGTTTTCATGGGAAGCATAATTTTTTGGATGGTTTTTTTTCTCAAGTTTTCGAAAAATCTAAGAAGTTTGGTAAATTCGAGTAAATTTTGTATTTTCACAAATAGTTGATTAACCAGTGAAATGAAATGAAAATTCACAAGCACTTGCAGCGGAGACAATGAAAAGTGTTGTTTTGTATTGGATATAAGGGATGATATTGCGTCATTGAATATATTGACAGATGATTGAGCGACAGCTACCCCCGGCTTGGGATCCGTCGTTGAACCATTCGCATTCACATATTCGAATCCACGCGTCCCTCTTTTGCACCATTTCTGTCCTGCTCGTCGAATAACCACTCACCGCAGCCCCAACCCCATCCGCTGTGTTTACCGCAATTATTAAATGTAAACTCATATTTCGTAATTGCCAAATATTGATAGTCCGCATGCCGTGCGGCTCGATGCACTTTCACGAGCACGCGTGCAACCCCTTTTGCAAGGACGTTTTATCGGATGGCGTTACGAATAATAAAAATAACCTTCCGAAAATTACTAATAGAATTTGAGCTTTTTTTTTCTAAGGATCAAAACAATGTCGATTTATAACTTTTTCCACGGAGTATCCTAACGAAGAGCTTTCCCAATATTCAGTTTAGCAAGTGGTGCTCGCGCCAAGATCGGTTAAGCAAGAGACGAAAAAGTTGACGCTAGGATATAAAAAGACAGGGTGGTATATAGCATAGGGGTTGTGAGGTAGGATTAAAAAATTGCAGAAAAAGCGGCATGCAAAATTTTCAATATCGCAACGCGCGACGCTGGAGGTACGTTGGGATTTTGGCGGAGGCGGGTTGGCGTCAGCTTGTGTAACTATCGGTAATTAATCAGAATCATCCCCGTATATCGTGTACGTGGTAGTGAGGGGGTAGTTAACCAGTGACGTCACGCCCCTGGCGACATCTGGCCGGGCACTAGCCGGACACCGGCCGACACTGGACACTGGACGCGCTGGACACTAACTCGGGATCAAAATTACCCTTTACCAACCCCTATTTCTCCTATCCTATACCATCCTCTATACACGACCTCGTACCTCTGACCCCCTCAGAACGTGTACCGGGTGGTTCAAATTAATTCTGCATTCTAGTATCTCCCTCTCAAAACACTGGCAACCCTTGGATTTCTACCTAGACTCATGCTCTCGCAATTAAATTTGATCCTGTTTAGAATCTGTATATCCATGATTGCCGCTATTGGACTTAATATCGGATGACATCCGCCTGCGTTGAATCGATATAGGACATACACAGGCATGCGTCCCTTGTCGTGTATTTTAGTTGACCGGTGAAAATGGAGGGTTGTAATTTTCAGAGGGGTTGTATTTTCGATGCGCGCTCGAAAATTTCGAGCTCGAAGCTACGGGAGCATGCTCGTGGCCCGCGAGTACATGGATTAAAGCTAATTTCGTCGATCCAATTTAATTGAGCGATTAACGGCTAAATAGCCCCTTCTAAAACAAATCGCATCGGGGTGTCCAGCGCGCTGGAAAATATAATTCAAGGATATTTATGGCTGGATTACCACTGAAATTGGGTATCTAATATACATGTCCCGTCCACTGTCGTATACAGCGAATAAAATGACCAACAATTTTATTGGTAATCCCATAGGGAAGTGTATGCAAAATTTGGATTCGTCATTCCAGATACAAGCATTTTTAAATAGCGTCGCGACGCCATTATTCCACCGCGTAATTGCCGAGACAAATCGACGAAATGGGGAGAGGGTTAATTCGAGTGGATTTTCGTCTATAGGACAATAGGTTGGCTGCAAAGGATTAGCAGCAATTGATAGCCACGTGTGTGGTGGGGAGCAAGGGGTTGTACAATGTACAGTTGATATTTTTGTTAGGTATTAAGATGAGCAATTCTGCTAATTAATCAGAAGAATCATTATGGTATCATGATATCCATCGTTCGGACTATAAATTGCATTTACATTTAATTTCGAAACATCGCAAAATAAATTGACTGTGCAAACTGTGTCGGTTAGTCAATTAAAATAATTTCGTCCTGGTTAATTTACAGAAAATCAATTGCAAAATTTGGGGATATTGAAATGGGAATCACACGTGGTAATAAAATTTGGGTCGTCTATATCTGACTATCATTGCCGAGTGTGTTTTTATTTTTATTCTTTCAAATATCATAATGCCCTTTACGATAGTGTGATTTAATTTACAGATACCAATTTGCCGGTAATACACATATATGATTTTCGTTTTAATTGCAATCAGGTAATTTGAGGGCACGTAAATGCGTAAATTTATGTTCCATATATATTAACATGAGTGTTATTATACATTTGTACAAGAGTAATAAAGGAACATTAAATTTCGCCTTACACGTATCTATGTGACTAATTGTTTATCGGTAATTAGCTGTATGATAATTAGCTAATAGGCCAGACACTGTTTCGTTGAATATTTAGGTTCCACTGTCTCTCATTATGTCGGATGGGAAAAGATTGAATATCCGAGATCATCCAATATTCAATTTATGGTCCAGACTTCGGACTCTCTTCTTAGTTTAGATTTCGCGTTTCGCAATTTCACGGATAAGAATAACACAATTGCGGTTCCCGGTATGGTTATCCATGAAAATCATGAGAACGACGTAAATCAACGTGAACCTCTAGCAGGGCTGCCAATTATGGCGTTGCATAGCGAAATTCTAATGTAAACGCGCCAATCAGCAGTCTGTCGCTGTATAAATAAATGACTTCCACCCCCATCACACAGGATATATGTTATGGTCGCCTTTAGCAAACTGCGGATACGTTTGAATGGATTGATTTATTCAATTGATTAGTTGTCACTGGATAGTGTTTGCAAATCGTGTGAAAAATGGTTAATTAACAATGAAAGACGAGTCAAAATAGTCATAATAATATTAAAATATAAATAACACTTGAAATTGGTGATAATGAAAATGCTATGTGAAGAATCTTCCCTTCTGCCGTAACGACTCTAAAGAATTCGAGCTTGTTTAATTAAGAAGTCAGCCCGCGCAAGCTCCGTTTTAAAAACTCAATTCGCAACTTCGAAGCCCCGTCGCGAAAAGCTCGAAGGCAAGTTCTCGCGGCCGTTAAGGAGAGAGTAAAAAGAAAAAAATTCTCAGCGCAAGCTCCTTTCGGAGTCTGTCTGGTTCTCCTCGATATAGACCGAGAGAGAGAGAGAGAGAGAGAGAGAGAGAGAGAGAGAGAGAGAGAGAGAGAGAGAGAGAGAGAGGGCCGGACTTTTGGAGAGTGAGAGGTGAAAGCTGTGGGAGGAAGTCTGACCCTACAGAACTTCCTGCGAAGGTAGGTAGCCACCCCCAAGAGACGTGCCCTCCTGCCTCGTGGCATCCTATCATCACCGCAAGCTTATTCCGCCCTGCAAGCTTCGAACACGCCTAGAAGCGTGCGCAGATCCCGCCCTATGACCAATACGCTTTCGCGTAAGCTTGCAAGCTCGTCTCCGCAGTTCGCAAGCCGGGCCACCCGCCAAACACCACGTGCCACGCGACCGGGCTGCACGTGTATTGCGGAGCATTCTCTACTTTCGTACGAGAAACTGAGCGAGACAGAAGGGTGTTGCAAGCTTGGCGATAGGCAGGGATAATAGGGGGGTGGCAGGTAGAGAGGGAACTTGCGAAAGTCCACTCAAAGATTCCAGTATGGAAACCGCCTTCTGATATCTCATCAGGAAGAGTCATCGTGAGAACCGTAGATTGAAGCGACACGCGTGAGCATCGTGAAGACTATAGGGAATTAGGGGATGAATTCCGTGAGAGTACTTAGATACGTTAAATTGTGATCGTAGAATTGTAAAGCTTCTTAACGAGAAGAGGAGAAATCTTAATCGAAAGGTATTTGAAAAAGCGAAGATCCCGTAGGGTGAAGAAGTGCCAAGAGGAACGATCTACGTGAATCTCAGCAGCGACATCCTGTAAGTACCCTTAGTACGTAAGTGCAAAATGGTATTGTGAATAAAATTAAAGATCAGGTATTAAACGGACGATTGGTTTGGGTTTGATGAATTTTTTGTGCCACGTGGCAATAAGAGAGAAAAAAGGTAGAAAAGGTTTTTTTCGTGGTTTACGCTTGGCCGATAGAGCGGGCGTACTACCCCACCGCCACTTATCACGGGGGTGGCCGATATTCAACAGTTGGTCCTTCTTTTATCTTGCAAAGCTCCCTACCTACTACAGCCCTCCTCACCAAATGCCTAGTCCCTAGTTCCTCCGTGCTAGCAGGCAGCCCTTACAAGCGTGCCCTCTCACAAGCCCTCGATCCGTGTAACTTTATTAGGAGTGGCCCTTCATAAGTAGGGTGTCAAAAGCTCCTCTATCACAAGGGTGAATTCCCAAGTTTCGCATTAAAGGAATCAAACGTACCTTACGCCCTTAGACTACCTTATTATGATTCGTAAAAAAAAAAAAAAGAAAAATAATCAACGATAATAATAGAGGGATCAAAATTGCGAAGTAGCCAAATGAAAACATTGTATAGAATTTTTTGCAAAACAACCGAAGAATTCAGGGGAATGGTAGCGGATTTGGTGTGGTCATAGGTGTAACATATTTATGTTGTGAACCGGCCGAGTGTGGGCAATAAATAGCGGAGTTCGTAGGGAAGGGGGTTGATGGTAGTAACCAAGGGGTGTTCAGGGGATACACATAGGATATACGGGTGAAAGAGGAACGGGATGCTGGAGTGCCAGAGCGATTACGCTTCCGCCCCCAGCGTGGCGTTTGGCCAGAGCTACCCTATTCGTTTGTTTCACCCCGTATGTACTGAACGCTGCTAGGAAGGTATGCAATTTCGGTGTTGGGAATGTCGGCTGAATGCCCACTCATATCGCTTGAACTGACATCTCTCTAGAACAACCCCCTATTTTCTATTTTTTTTTTTCAAAATCTTCCTCCAAACTTCCTCCAAAACCAAATTTTACCCTTTACTATCATTTTTCTTTATGTCGGTTTATATGAAAGTTCTATTAGGCATGGAACTAGACCTTAATTCAACCCTCTGTCAATTTTCCTCCCATGCTGATCACTGGTTATTGCATCTCCATTGAGCAGTCTAGCACTGCTCGGAAGTGATCTCATATACATATATATGGTTTGTACATGTTAACTCCGTGGACTGGCAGAGGGTTGTGAGGTATGTCGAAATGCTGACTCGAGAGGACCCGTTTCTCATTCCAACAGATTACTATAGAGATACTGATCGGTCCATACCAGCTTCCTAGGTAACCTAATGATGCATATCTCAGTCTGTTATGTCTTGAATGTCTAGGTACGATCGGTCTCCATGGGGGGTGGGGGGTGGGATGGAGTTTTAGGGGAGGGGGTGGATCCAGGATTTGTGGAAGGGAGTATGTGGAAGCAGGCTTGCAACGAGGTTGAGAGCTTGCGGTCGAATGCCAGGGTAACCATGTCTAGCCTGTAACGTTACTTGCAAGCTTCATGCCCCAAGTGACCGAGGATCATCCCCTATCAGGAAAAGTCAAAAGTTTCTATGTGAATTTCCCGTTCAGTGTATTTTCTTTGGAAAAAATGTCAAATAAAAATATAAACTGTCACGTAACATTATTTGGGTCATAGAGACAGGGTTTCTTGTATTTTCAAAAGAATTCACGGGTATGCATTAGTTGGTAAATAAATATTTCTCTCACTCTCATATCATCCTCGGTAAAACCAGGAACGCTGCATAACATTCCACATATGTTTCAATGCTTTTGTCGAGTGCATCCGCGAATTCCCGGATGCCTGCGTAGTCCAGCTACACACGCACGCAGATGCGAATCCGTGGGCAACATGCGAATTCCATAGGAGCGAATCGCCCGCAAAAATCGGTACGAACGGACCAAACTAATTTAACTGTTTTGAACAATTAATTCGAGGCATTTAATTTAATTGCGAGACCCGACGCTCCGGCGTCGATGTAACTATATGTAATCGGAATTTCGAAATCAGGAACCCAAAACGTTTCGAATTCTTTTGGGTTTAAAATGGCCGCCATGACGTAGGAAATAACCACGCGTGAATTCTCGAAAATCGACAATTCCAACGGGCATTGATCGATGACTGTTTCAATAATTCGAGAACCTTGATCAGAGGCCGTTTATAGGTACAGGGGTTTGGCAAGGGAGAGAAATAGGGGCTGGAATGTTTGACTGCTAGCAGCCAGCTTGACCAGCCGCCTGAATTATTTGGCGATGCAAACACGTAAGTATACGGAGTCCGGTAAACACACAGGGTGCAGTTGTACGAGGGTAGATGCGGGAAGGGGTTGCATAGGGACTTGGGGCTAAAGGGTGGTGGACCGAGGGGAAAGGGGCTGGCTAATTAATAGCAAACCCGTATAAATCAGACAGGCTGGATGCGCGCTCCTCGTACACCGTACCGCGGCAGGATTATGCCCAGAGGGCCGGTTACCCCCGACCCGCTAATTTTTCAAACGGCCGCCATAATGGTCCCGGCTAATTACTGATTTTTATCTCCTCGGCCACGAGGGCCGCGAGGATGCTCTGGCCCGGCCTCTAGGTACCTAGATCATGGTCTG